TACACAAAAGCTAAACATTTATTTTACTCACAGGAATTTCTAAAAAATCAACGAACTTTCATTTGCAGAAGCGCAGAGGACAATCCTTTAGTGTGTTCATTCATTTTTTGAATATAGTTTACTGGCAGACTATATATATTGCAGTGTTAATCGTATTATACTGTGAAAAAAATATGAATTTTGATGGAAATAAAATTTTTTATTCTTAATCCATTCTATTGTTGATGGAAAAACAGCAAACATGCAGGCAGCAATTTGAACGAAATGAGTTGAGGAAGATCAAAGAAATAGAGGAGAAGCAACGTTTAGAAATGGAGAAAGAAAAGGAAAAGAAACTGGAAGAAGAAAAACTGGGACAACAGCGCATCGAGTAGTAATTATATTTTTTACAATGCAAAATATGTTTCGAAATGGTTTTCAAAGTAGAAATAGATGTTTCATATGTGTTTAAAATTAGAAATTTTTAAAGGAGAACGAAACTTGAAGGACAAAGAAAACAGGAAGAAGAGGAATATCGTCGACAACGGGAAATTTTAAATGCGCAAAATGAATGTGAAGAAAAGATCAAACGCCAACGGTAAATATTTTGATTAAAAAGTCGTTTAGCTTTTCGATGCCGTCGAGTTGTTTTTTGGCTCATTTTTTAGATTTAAGAGTTAAGTAATTCTAATCAAAAAGAAGATAATAAAAAGACTCTATCTGTTTCTTTACAAATTTTCAATTTTAATTTAGAAATGAAGAACTGAAACAAGAGGAACTAGATGAAGAAATTGCAAGAAGGCTAGCGAGGGAAGATCCTACTTTACAAATGGTGGAAAGTAATGCCTCGTAAGATTGCGCATATTTGAAATTTTTCTTGATAAATAAAAAAAACTGTTTTTTTTAACGCGGTATACTGATTTTTCTAAGGTAGCATTGTAAGGTATATTTTCTGATGTATAAGACTACATGATATTAATAGCATAAAGAAGTATCATCATCGTAAGTAATGTTGCTTGAATGAGTTTGTAAAATCAATGGAATCAATGGTTTGTTAAAATCAAAGCAAATGATTGGAATACTTTCTTGACGAGTTTCTGATCTTAAAAATTTGTGTAAGACTAGTTATATGGAAGCTGAAATTTAAGATGAGTGTAAAGTGACAATCTAGAGGACTACTGTCTGAACAAAGATAAATGAAACCAACAGCCGGCCTGAAATAAATCTGTTGTTTACAAAAAGCTTTCCAATAAAATTTACCAAGTTTTTAGCAGGAAAGAGAAAAGTATTAGCACTTCTAAATATAATCTGACGAAGTACAAATACGTCGAACTTCGCGATATCATCAATACTTCCACTGGTATTTCATTTATTCACAGCTTGATTTTATAGAACTTTTTATATTGACTTTAAAAAGAAAATTAATTTTGCGGTAGTAGCGCAAAAAACCGAGCACATGGTCTTCAGAATTGTGGCCTTCAGTGATTTTGTTTTAATTCAGTTGTTAATTAAGCTGTGAGCATAGAAGTGTATGAAATATCGCCGTTCATGACTTGAAATTTTAGACATAATTCACGTCATTTTAATATTCATTTATCACTTCATGCATTTAACTGTGAAGGAAGCATTTAACTGCGCTAACTTTTCTGTTCATTTCTTCCCTCATCTTTCTTCCCTCAGCTCAAATTATAGCATATTTTAACAACAGAAGGAACCATGTGAAAAAATTAATTTCTCATCTAATATTATCAAATTGATGAATTTCTTCAGATACGGATTTATTGCTTGCTTGCAAAGAAGAATTCCATAGACGTTTACAGATTTATCAACAATGGAAAGAGTTAAATGAGAGCAGTACTATTGAGCGACAGACAAATCGCATACCAATGGCAGTACTCGCTTCAAGTAAGACAAAATGACTGCAATGATACTTAATGCCTTTCCATTACTCTCTTAGTTTTGTTGAATAGCGGGATTAGATGTCATGGTAATTCATGAAGAAAATGTGATATTTTTCATTTATAAAAGAACAACTATGGTGATTGGTTCAAATGATACAAAAAGATGAAGCTGGAATAATAATTCAATATGCTTACTCATTTCCGCTTTACTTCCTTGAAAATTATTTCAGATTATATTAGCATTTATCCTTTTGAACAGAAGCTAACTTATAACGTAAAATGATTTAGCAATAAAATTCTGTTGCATGTCGGATATCCATGAATACTGTTATATTAAGAATTAATTAAAATGTTTCCATACTTTAGGCAGTAAAGGTTTCTCTTCACATTTCTCGCAGAATAATGTCACTATCCAACGATATTTCAAAGTGCCCTTCGCAAAATCTACTCGTGGGCTTATGAATATGCGTGGTATGTTCAGAATCATACATATCTTGCCTTGAAGTTCTCATTTTTTAAATTTAGATTATGTATACCACAATGAGCAAGCAGTTTCATGCAATTATTCGCTCAAAAGCCGTGGTATCTCGTAACGTTTCACAGAGCAATATTTGTTTATCCAAAATTAATAATGAGTAACAGAATTCATATTAGCTTATTAAAGTATGCTAATCATAAATTGTCTTTGCAGATATATCGGAAGTAGCAATTTCACATGGGATGTGGTATGCCCACTTCGATGGACAATGGATTGCCCGTCAGATGGAGTTGCATCCAAATAAGAAACCTATATTGCTTCTTGCTGGTGGGTATCATAAACTATTCCTCTCCCTCTCATTCCTTCGCTTGTTCTTTCTATATCAACATATGGACGTAGAAATACATATGTAATGAATGATGTGGTCATGAAAAACAATGAAAATTATTTGGGTATGGGAGACATTCGTAATTTCACTATAGGTTATTCATTCAGTATTCATTTAAATTTTCAAGGTACCAGCTTTTAAGTTATCTCTATCTCACTATCCATTGATGATTGTTGTTAACAAATAACATGAGTTCCGCTTCGTTTAGGTCGAGATGATTTGGAAATGTGTGAGCTGTCTCTTGACGCAACACAGTTGACAAGAAAAAAAGGTGCGGAGATAACTGCTGTTGAGTTTGAAACTCTGTGGTATCAGTGCGGTGGATTGAAGTATCATGTGCGTTCCCAACATGAAAGAAACTGATATATCACATTGTATATATGATTGCCAAATATGTTATATGATTGATGATTTCAAGAACTTGCGTTTATAAATTAAATTTGTTTAGATAACAAATTGAATTTTTCTGACCTGCGCTGGAAACCAATAGTAACATGGAATTACGTATGACTGCTTTAGGACACATCGCCAAAACCGTGAACTTTGACCGTGGACTTTCTTCTAGTCTTCCCTTGAACATGTTATCTCGGTTCACTAGCACAAAACTCCATTAACGAGGCAAACTTGCTAACAAGAAGAGGCGAACTGCCTATTTTCTTTTTTTTTTTTGATAAACTAACGAGTTTCAAATTACAAGGACGCGATGTGCCCCTACCAACACTTATTCCCCTCAGCTTTACTTTATTTTATTAAGTCGTTCTAATTCTCTCCCGACTTTATTTTTCATTCGTCTTTGCTTTATTGCATCTGTGCACTCTTTCATCATGGTAAATGAATGCCGAATTAAGGTGTTTTCGCCAAGCTAATATATTTATCAATTTTTTTAAGCTAATATATTTACCATTTTATTTGTTTCGAAAAACCCTCAGTCTTGTTAAAGATAAAATTTAAAATTTATGACGGTTCACATCAATCAAGACGTGTAATTTCATCCATGAACAAAAAGTATAGTAAATATGAAACAGCAAAAAACATCAACCACGAATAACAACAACAGAGAAAAAATGAATCATTTCTACAGCGGACATAAATGTAAGTTAAAAAATCTAGTTTTTATCAATTCCATTTAGTCGTGCAATAAGCTGACGTGTACGCCTTCTTTCTTCATCTGCCTCTGCACCTAAATTAATTTCGTATTCTTCAAGGACCTAAAAACAGGAATCATGAAAATAGGTGAACACATTCCTATGAAAATGATGATAGCAGCAGTTCACTGATTGAAAAATAAAGTATAACCTAGCTTAGTTAGAGAAACACTCGTATTCGTTAGGCAATAAATGATATTTCGTGCAATCATCACCTTGGAAAAATAAAAGAATATAAAATAAAAGCAACTGAAATAATAATACAGTAAAAATAACCGGCACAAGATGTTTGCTAAGCTTTCCATTCCCAGTGCGCATTTGCAACAGCTTTACCGCTCGATTACGACAGCCAGGCATTGCATTTGAGCATATATCTGCAAGAATTAAAATGATTCGTTGTAATGTGTACAAACCAGCATCCAACTTATCCAGGTACAACTGTTCAATTTCATCATCAGATAATTTGCTGTTCTGCATCAGATTAGCCTGACGAGTATCAAATCGGTCCACGCGTTCCCTGAATATATGTTTTAATTACTCGATATAAATGTTAATAACTGTTTTTTTTAAATATCCTCAGTGAGATAGGATATGTTTATTTACAATATACCGGGAGCTGTAAAATTCTGAACAGAGTGAAAACCAGAGTTAGAAATAAAATATGCATTAATTCGAATAGAATTATTTAAATTTACTACATAACAAAGCTTCCCCTTTACTTCAATCTTTCCGTTCAGGTACTCTATCTTCAAAAACATAATAATTCACAAGGAAAGAAAACCGCCTTCTTGCATAATAAAAATTGATTTCAGAAGTAAAACTTACTGATATTTTAAAACGAGTTCAACTGCACGGTCGACTTTTTCATATTCATGTTCGCTAAATTTCGAAAAAATTCGATTACGCCCCTCTTCACCACAAGACCTCAATAAAGATGCCAAAACCTACAAAATTTCGCACTGTTTTTTTTCGCATCAACAAATTGATTAATATATATATATAGCCAACAACAGCAACAACCATTCACTATAATTTGGATCATAAAAAGAATATATTTTACCGAACAAACATGCTCTTCATGTTCATCTGGTGTTGAATCTTTCCTTTTCTGCTTTGATGGAGTTCTCATAAACAGCGGGAAAATTGTTCGCAAACCTAAAAATACCTTTATAAAAGCTTTGAAGGAAAACAAATAATCAGAAAGGAATAAGCGTCAGAAAGTACAACTGAGCAATATAAAAGAATTATCAGATGAAGTCATTTAATTGGTTCTTTAAACCGTTTTTGGTCTGAAACAATCATTTCTTAGTAACCATTGTAGAGTTAGACCAGTTACCATTATTACCCAATGCATATGATTATTATTATTAACGAGTTTCAAAAGCTCACCGAGAATATCGATGAACTTCGCACAATTCGATTTTCCTTCTGCACCATTTGTAGCGTAATCCAAAACCTTTAGTGCGCTTTCACGTGATTGCTTACGTTCTCTACAAAACATTGGAGACTTTTAAAGATAGGATTAAAAAGTAAATACGTGAAAATAAAATAGTTTTCGCAAAGAATCGATTAAAAATGTATTACGAATCACAAAGACCTATCATAAACGGTTACCTCAGCATGAGATTCATTAGCTGAAGGCCTTCACCGTCCAGAAATTTCTGTCTATTTGGTGCATACATAAGTGCGGCGCATACAGCATTGAACAAGTTCTCCATATGTTCCCGTTCATCTGCGCTCCCTGGATCATGACGCTTATAAGTGGCCAAAGCCTAAAGTGTATTGCGTTAAAAGAGTCCAAATTCCTTATACGTCGAAGAATCAACATCGAAACTCTATCGATGAGATGTATATTACAGCTACTTTTTTTTAATTTATAACTAAGACCGCAGTGTAAGAAAAACGTACACGAAGCAGCAAATCGAAGCCATCAACTTTTTCAGTTAATCGTCTTCTAGCTAATTCGGTTGACTGAAGAAGCAAAGACAGCAATTCACTAGCAAACATCTTATTCGCATCCAAAGCTCCTCGTTGAGTTCCACGGCGAAGAAGCCAAGCAAACAAACCCTGCTCGACACAAATGTCAGCAAATGATGGTCGGAAATCGAGTACCTGCAAAAAGAGAATTTTGATACCATAAGTAAGGAGGATTAGTTTTTTGATGATTTAATTACCTAAAATTATAGCTGACTACTGCACTCAAACATTTCAAAATATACAAACATTGAATATATTCAAATATTAAATTCTTTTATTGATAATGCTAAATTCTTCAGAATCAATAACTATTACCGCTAATTTATGGGAAATTGCTATCTTCAATTATATCACCATCATCGCCCGAAGACTAAAAATCTTGATTCAAAAATGCAATGACTTAAAAATTGGCGAAAAATATATAGAAATTTACATTTTCTACGACCGATAATGCATTATGTATTGCATCGGCTTCGTCTTTTATAGTTTCATCCAAACGTTCAATGCTTTGCTGTACTAATGTTTCAATTAACTGATCGGCAACCAACACATCAATTAATTTCGCAGCACCACCTTCACCTTCATTCAACGTATCAACATCTGTTAATTCCTTCAAATAACAAAAAATTGAGTTTCGAAAATATTTAAAAGATTTTTTTGCTATTTAAAATCTTGAAAACAGTTTCTGACACTTAGTTTTCAATAAATAAGGAAAACACTAAACATAAGAATTCTCGATTGTAGAAGAATTTAAATTTGGAGAATCTAATGATCTCAGCCAAGAATATTTTAGTATTGCATAGCATTCTAAAAAATCCCTATAACTTTTGCGCAACAATTTAAAAGAACCTGCAAAAGATTGATGACAGCGGCAACAATGTCAGAGTTTTCGTGAGCTAATAACTGCAAAAGAGTAGCCGTTGCGCCATGATCAACAAGCAATTCATATAAGTCAGGTTGCGTTGCTAATGCGTGCATCTCCTTAAACAGCGACACATAATTCATATAGCAATACTAGAAAAAAAAAATGCAAAAATGGATATGAACCTGTACTGCTTCATTTAATTCAACTTCGCTTTCCATGAACTTTGCTGGTTCATCGCCGTATTTGATACGCATCTCTCGATTTCTCAAACACCGTTTCTCCAGCTAAAATGTTGAAAAATATCAGAATATCAAATTGCTAACGCCAAAAAATAATCAAAATTAAGAAGAATGACATTTCATAAATGCATTAATTCGAAATTTGAATTGCATAAGTGCGGTCGAAATTTGACCTGCATAACAATTCGTTTAACAGCTGCTTCATCAACGATTACTCCTTGTGATTCATCCCTTTCCAATGCGGCGAGGATATCTTCTGGTGTGGTAGTTGCCGTAGATATAACAGCAATGTCGATACGAGATCGTTTCGGTTGCACCTTAAAGTAATATTGTTGCTAGTTAATATACCACTCGAAATCCAAGATATCATAGTTGAATAATTTAATTTCAAAAGATGAATAGAAAGATGAAAAACCCTAGAATGTAGGAAAAAATTCCATTACCTCGGCTGATGATCGCAGAATCTCCGTAACATCGATTGAAGACATTCTGCTATAAAAAAGATCTATGCATCATATACATACACATTTGAATCAAAGTCCTTGAAGTTCACAAAAACTCTTTTTCATAAATCTAAGTACCTCGCAGCCTTACACGGAGCACCATCGAAATCTCTTACGCTGCCAGAAAGACATCCTTCAACCACTAGTCAACTAGCTATTCTAGAAAACTAACCACCCGAATTATTCTTTCTTTAATGTTTATAGTTCCTTTTAAGCAGAACACAAAAATATTCGAAATCATAATAACGGATATAATCGTAATAAAACTTGCACAGTTCTGAGACAAAATGTGAAACATATCATTTATTTAATATCTTAGTTAATAATTTATAATTTGGAGAATATTAGCATACTATGTCACACATGAAGAGATCGAAAATAATGCACGAATTTTTAGATAACAATAAATTAACGAAGATCTGACATTATGCGCTAATACTCCTCGATAAAAAATCAGACTTATAAATGCCCATAATAAGAAATACATACTCTGAAAACTACTATTGAAAACCCATTAGCTGTTTCTATTACATTTAATCTCTTTTCATCTCTGTGCATTTCTTTGAGGGAGCCTCTTATAAAAAAATTGTAATTGAGCAATGTTTCAAAGAGAAGTTCAAATATGAAGCGTTATATTGATAAATAAGATTTAAATCTCAAGAAACCACATTTAACATTTTAGCGATTAAATGGCTGACTTTTACGAAGTACTGCTCATCACCAGTAATATTCCACTTTGTTTCTGAAAGTAAATTTAACAATTCCAGGCGTTTATTTCTTTCTGCTTCATTGGTGCTATCACATTCGGAGGCCAAGCATTCATAAAGTTGCTCCGCTGTATTACGACGCATTATGGGATAGCGAGATCGTAAAGTTCGGACAACCTGCAGCATATTAATTAAATTACTCTCGAACATGAGAAACTATGTTTGTAGTAAGCAAACTCGTGAATGAAGGAAGTCAAACAAAATCTATCTAAAAAGTGCAAAAGAATGATCAATTTAAGTAAATCAAAGTCTACAATAAAAAATACTAAACTCGACAATACTTGATGAAGAAAGAAACTTGCCATCGACGCAGATTTTTGCCACACTAGACTACATGAATTGAAATGTAGGAAATGGCATAATACTGAAATACATATTCTGACTTTCTGTGCACTTCCTTTAACTGTTGCTTCCTGCAAAATTAGTATTTCACAAACAAATTCTGGTACTACTAAAAAGCAACGGATAGAGCAGAAATTTTATACGATCTACTTTATAAAGTTAAGAATTAGCACGACTTCTTGTGATACTGGATTAATTAATAAGCTTCCACTCTTTTAAGCCAACCGGTTTAGAAATGTGGAATGAAATATGAATCAATAACTGCCAATGAACAAATATTCCACAACATCACAATGTCAAACGTGATTATTTTAAAGAAAAAGCATTTGATTTTTAGAAACAGATGATCATAAAAAACTTGTGAAATAAACGCATACAATCGCAACGCGATCTACAATTTTCCGAAGAGAAGGTGAAGAATCCGGATCTGCTTCAAAACATTGCAGAAGCTGTGCTGACAAAATCTGTTCCAGTGTACGAAGTAGAGGTTGAGTCACACGCAATATGCCAGCATTATTGATTAAAATAGATGCAAAACATCGGAGAAAATTTTCCAATCCCTAGAAATTTTAAAAATTATTCGCTTTTTAATATAAATATTTGGTTAATATAATACCTACGCTTTATTTAAACTGCACCATAACGTAGTTTTTAATAGTGATAAATTTATCATAATTAACTAACTTGTCGTGATCCGCGGATATCAGAAATCACCGAAAGCAAAGCATCAGATGCACCTCGCATTGTAGATTCCGTAACACCTCCTAAATTTCAAAAAAAAATAGAGAAAACAGTCTTATGAAAATTCTGGAACAAAAGAAAAAAGATCCAGTAATAACAGTATCCACAATCTGATTTAAATATTACCAGCAGATATAATAAATCCGCTTAAAGCAGAATATCTGTAGTAAGAACTGTTCAACAACAAAGATAATCGTTTGAAGCAAGATGACAATCTCCAGTCCATATTCGAACTATTAACCAAATAAATTTTTCTTAGAAGTTCTTCTTCTTGAATATCTTTTAACCCTGATTGCAAGATCCTCTTCATTACCAAAGCAGCACACTAAAAATAAGAATAGATTGAGAGAAGTACAAAATCAAGACAGTTTTAAAGTCTACCATCGGATTATGAATCTTTGCTGTAAAAAAATTAAACATATATATCGCTATACAAAGTGTAAAACTCTACATACTCTGAAAACTACCTCACGAGTTGCATCAATTTTCTCGGCAGATTGTTGAACTATTTTACAAATTGCTTCGGAAATACGATCAACAACTTTCGAGCAATTTTGCGCTAAAGGTAAAATAACTGCAAGTGCTCTCATCGCTTCCTCGCGCAGAACTCTTCCAACATCACCCCTTTTGTCCATTGTATAATCGTCCAAAGAATTAATAAGACTAAAACACTTTATTCAGGCTATAATAAGAATAAATAAAATAAGAAACAATGTAATTATATATAGTAAAAAATATATATGTATACATAAAGTAAAAAAAACGTTTTAGTAAATACACTACGAAAATTTACAAAACCGAAATCTAACAAACCAATCAAGGAGTTCAGCAATATCGCCCAGCGATTCAATCCCAACTGAATGAACAATGCGCGTAATAGCTTCCACACAGGAGCGTCGTCCATAAGCCCAAGTTGCATCCATTGCACTAGATCTAGAAAGCATATGTTACATATCGCCTTGCTTATTACCCGCGTTTCAAAATGTTGTCAAGCGTAACAGAAATTCATATTTTTATTTGAAAGGCTTATAATCATCCGGTAAAAACGTTTACCCATTGATTATAAGCGTAAGTGTACGAATTATTTCAGCAGCGAAAGGCTCGGATGACGTTGGGAGCAATAATACTTCAATTGGAATGACACTCAGAAGAGCTGCTGTCCCTTCTCTAACTGATTCCACTTTAGCAGCGATGACCTGCAAACGCTATTTGTCAAATCTCATTATTATTATTATTCCTTGATCAACAATGCGCCTAAAGTTAAAAGAAACATTGGTTTGGCTCAGATCTTGAGATATTCATATTCAAAGCTGGATATAATTTCCTTTTACAACTAAGTGCAGTATGCGCATTTCAATAACAAAGAAAACAAACAATACTATTCCTACTGTTCGCTGCAAGAAGTGATATATGTCCAGACCTGCTATTCTAAAAAAATTCTTAAAACTAACCTCGCTATTGAAAATATTTCAACTACATCAAAAAGCAAAATTTTTTTAATAAACCATCTACCTGTGGCAAATAAACTTGACGAATTCGAAGCATCAAAAACTCAGCACCCGAGCTATCAATGTAAAGTTTGAAAAAGACTTCTCCTGCCTGACATGCTCCTTTTCTGATATCTCCATTTTCGTCGCAAAAGTTCAATTCCAAACAGTAAAGCCAATCTTCAGTCTAAAAAAAATGAAATATATTTTCCTTTGAAAAATGAAATATATGAAATATATTTTCCATTGTGAGAATTATGGTTAGTGGTTGTTTGGGTAGCCATTCCTCATCTTGATAACATTTCCTCATCTCTGACTAACTTAACAGACTCACATTTAAACTAATGGAGCTTTTGTTTCACGTCACCAATTTCTGAAATCTGTAAAACGTGTTAAATATTTCAGTATAGCAGCTGCTATCAAAACGAATTACAAAATCAGAACAGATTTCTATCTGATTAATGCTAACTTTAAAATATATACTTTTATGATCTCTTTAGGTATAACAGATGATAACGACTTGATGAAGACATTCATAGCTCGTCGCATTAATGTAGAACCCAGTGAACGGGTTTTTTTCTTACACACAGGATAGACCATACTGGGTATTTGTGCGACATTTTCGTACAAGTCCTTGTCCAGCAACGTTCCACATCTTTTCAAACCTGATAAAGCGGATGCCAGTGCAACAACACCTCCTTGTCGCATAACCAGTGATTCACTACTGACCAATGGCATTAACTTCTTAAGGACCTACAAATAGTTTGTCTTCCGAACTTCTCGTAAAATAACTGCTTGTCAGGAAAAGAAGAAAATCTAAAATTAAAATTTCTTGCATGAAGAAGAGAGATATCAAATATGAAAAGTTATGATACCTGAGTTGAAACAAAACTTGGGTCTAAAGTACAAAGGCGATGAAGTGCATCTGCGGATAATAAGCGGATTTCCTCATCCCAATGAATTATCTATGAAAGAAGAACGAAATAACACAGACTAAAAAAGAAAAAAAATAAAAACAAAAAAAATGTAAAAAAAAGCAAAATATGCAAAAAAATCATCAAGACTGCAGGAAAATACAAAAAGCGCGTGCTAGCCTTTATAGATTAGCTCAGCAATAGCTTTTCCTATATTTCCTATAACTATCTTCCTTATCCTGTATAATTTTCTGTAAACTATTTTGTAATTCTTTGCGACTATATTCTTTTTAACTAATTTATAAATGAAACCTTGAAAGATACGAGGTGATTGATAATCGCTGGCGTGTACATTGAATACTTCGCTATTTCATATGAGATATCTAAATAAGATTTACAACGTTGTCCAACAGCAAAATAATCGATTTTCGTCAGTATATCGATACCATTTGGAAAAGTACCTTGCCGACCAACAATTTCTTGAAATGCTGCACTAGCAGCTCTAAAAACTAGTTATATAATGCTCACAAAAAATCAAAATATCTTTTGATTTTTTTCTGAACAGATTTTACTTCCTTTAAGGTACTAGATATTACAGAACCCACAAAAACTTCCATTTTAGCACAACTTCATGCACGATTAAGCCATACATCAGCCAAATATTTCGTAAGATACATGCCGATATGCGAAACTCCGCGAAACCTAGACTATAAATTCAATGAATTTAAAGTAATTACCGTCTCACGTTAACTTCTCTGTCAAATAAAGCTACACAAACAAGGCATGTTGCAATCTGTTCAATATATTTTTTTAAATCCACTGGACGAAAAGCTCGAGCCAATGACCAACATATATAACACGCTGCATCTCGAACACTCGCTCCTAAGGCATGATGTCCTTGTGGTTCTTCAAACACTAAGGCCTGGAAACGTGAAAAGTGAAAAAAGATAGCCATAGGAAAAAAAAAATGTCCTTCGATCTTTTAAGCCATCCTACAACTAAATTTTAGTCAAAGAAAAACTCACAATAGAAAAAAAGCGTACATAAATGATATCTAAAGTAAACGTGATAAAGAACTTATGTAAATAACTAACATTCAAAAGAATTTTCACAATATCCGGAAGTCTCTCGAGGGGCAAAAAGCCGCGCTTTGCAAGTTCAGCAACTGCCAAACAACCGCCATGCCAGGCAGCATTGCCGGAATGCAAATTGAAATTAAATTTAATGATATTGCAGAGTACATCATTTGCAAGATGTCTCGGCAAACGAGATACAATTCGTCCAACACCTTTTGCACCTGCCCAACGTATATCGGTATCGCGATTACGCAATGCTTCTAGAATTGTATTGAGAACCACTTCCAGCTATAAATATCTGCTTGAAATTGATCACATTCTTGATTACAATAACCAAATCGTTTCTTACTAGAGATCCTTTCTTTCGATCTCTGCGGCTTATTTGTGTGAGCAGATAGCAAATCGTACTAGTGGTACATCAGATTTCCTACTAACTTCTATTTTTGTATAAAAATATAAGATTTAATATCTTCGGCAAAAAAACATGGTTCATTCCAACCTTATATTACCCTCTTTTATTTTTACAGCAAATCTTCTGTAAGTAAAGGCAAAACAGTATTAGAATTAAAACAGTATTGGAAGTATTAGAATAATAACCTCAGCGTATGGAACTTCATAAACCTCATCTGCAAAACATTCTACTTCTAAAGCATTGAATTCTCGGCATTTTGCAAAACCGCTACTTTTGAAATCCAGATTTCGGTTCCCATTATCATAACGCCACTTCGCAATCTTAAACACAAAAATTGAGAGCAATCCATTATAGGACAAAAAAAAATGAAAAACTAAAGGTTTTAGACATCAAATAATACCTTTGGTTTTAAAAATACCATTCCCAATCTTTGAACAATTTTAACTGTTAACTTTCTTATAGTGAAATCTGAGTCTTCCAAGCTACCAAGTCGATGCAAGGCTTTTAGCACTTGATCTGCGACAGTTAATAAGTCTTCGCGTTCTCCCTAGAAAAAAACAAAATGATATAGGTTATTAAAAAAATTTATATCCAAAATTTTGCAGTATGTAGCCAGAATTTCATATATAAATAATACAGTTTGCAATTTCTGTAGCATTATCAGAAATTCCTTGTTCAGTTAACATTATTTTCCATTACCTCAATTCATGAAAAACAATGAGCAGTTATATTTCACCTTTTTAAGAATTGCTGCAAGCAAACGAAGACTACCAACGAGTTCACTGTTAATAGACCATTTACCTTCACAATTTTCAATCGCCAAAACACATCGACCTACCAAATTCTTCAAATATTTCTTGCGCGCATCTCCACGAGAAACTACCAATGAAAGCAACAAAGCAGCGGAACGCTGTAAAGTTCCCAGTGCAAAATTTTAAAAGCTCTAAAAATTCATAACAAAAGAAAAGAAAACAAAAAACCAAAATCTCTGAAAATTCATAACGAAAGAAAATAAAACAACGAATTCACACTTCTCAGCAGTAAATAATAAAAAAAGTCGGAATTATTGATTTTTTAAAACAATCTTATTTTTTATAAAACTCTGATCATACCTGACACCTATCAGTATTTAGATACAGATATGGTAGTGTAATGGAGACTATTCTATCCAATATATTACAACCATTCTTGGTTTCAAATTTGTTCAAATTAAATGGATTCTTGCATAAGATCACCATCCAAAGAAGTAGTATATAGCGGGAATCCATATCCATCGTAGAACCAGCATATCGTTCTAATGAAGAAAGTACTTTCTCCATATATTTCATCTTAAAAATGAAAGAAACATTATGAAGAGAATGACTTTTGAAAATAATCAAATTTTGTACATTAGTGTCACTCTTTCAGAGATCGTTGAACAATGGTATCAGCAAAAAATATGCTCATAGAAAAACAGGAAAGAAATAAATTGACTACAAGGAAATTAAAACCCTGGGAAATAAAAAAGATTTCAATAAAATACTTTTAATAGTTTCAAATAAGAAAAATCTCCTCACAGTTTCACAAAAACACAATGATTTTTAAAATGTAATGTTACGCATACTTACTTCGTGAGGTAGGAGAGAAAGGAACACCTTGTATCCTCTAACTTTTGATATATGTGCAAGCAGTGCAAATGCCACATTTGATACATCATCGAATCTTCAACAAATGTAATTTTGGAATATTATTAAAAATGGCGAGTGTTTAAATATTTTCAATGTTTCTACAAAAACAGCGACACATAAAATTATTAAAAAATGAATAAAAATTGACTAATGTTTAAATACCTTCATATCTCCATAGCATAACACAAATCGGTTGAAAACTAAAGGTAATAAAAATATTTAGAACACAAACGAAGAAGAATTTTACTTCGTCTCTCCGCTGTCAAGCAATTTTATATATGCCAATAATTTATTAAGCATGATTTCCATAAAAGGATCAAGCAAGCTGGGCTGTTCTTGGTATAGATCAAGCAAGTATCGAAACCTAAAGAAACAATCTAAACACAAGCGTATTTCAATATAATTTATGCAGAATAGCGTAAGACAGATGAGAGAGAAACTCCAGACAATTCAGAAAATTTTCACTATCTCTACTTTGGATATGAATATAAGCTCTCAAATCTTCAAACTCCTGATAATTAATAGTTTGTTTTTGTTAATGTCATCATTAATGTCAGAATTTATAATTTATTATAACACTAATAGGAACTAAGGTAGCCCATCTCACAAACCTCCAATAACCTGAGTTAAGCCAGATGTGATGAAATGTTGATTAAAGACAACCTTTCAAAATGGTTTTCTGTATCACGCTGACTGCTTGCAAACGAAGGTATAATGTCGATAATAGCAAATACCTCTTGTCGATGAGCATCAGCAAATGTTTTCTGTGACTCCGAAATGCCATCTTGCATCAACGAATCAACAAGAGGTGAACCAGGCACCACATCCAGTAATACTTTTTCCTGCATCCTGAAATTATTTGCATTGAAGTAAGGATCGTCTATATACAGCTCAAATTCTTTCAAGTGAAAAATGAAGACGACGTCGCAATATTTTATTATTATAAATCGTTCCTAACTTGTCCAAATTTTTATTGTATTCATTTTTTCTTACTCATCTTTCATTAATTCAAAAATGCAAAACTGACTCAATGAATTAATTCATAACTAATAAAACTAACTTGAGGATTCGGAATAACTGATCCACTAAGCATGAAACAAATGACACAATGCCAACGAATAATCCAAACACTATCGAAAAAAAAGCAGAGCCCACAACTACGGAATGAGCCACTTGCGTTCCCCAAACCTACCAAACGACGAGAATTGGCAAACCTTACACAAAACATTTTTTCCACATAACTACGAGGTTACAGTCACTTTGACTAAGACTCAGTGATCAGATGCACGTCCCACTATTGTTATTGACAATATAAATTGTCATAGAGAAAAAGTGAGCGGGGTAAAGGAGACAATGTTTGGCCAATATCGAAGAACAGCGAAGTCAGAGAATCGTCACGTGAGATAAGCTCAATCTAAATTCAAAGACTGACCAGACAAAGACTCACCTTTCCGACATGAATTTGCTTAGCATTCGAATATCCTTAAATTAAAAATTTAAATGCTGTAATCGACAGTATTGATTGGAACTGATTATATTTGCTGATCAAAATCTCAGCATTTAGCCAGGGATCAAGGGAGAATTAATTCCCAGACATCTGGACAATGAAGATGGCGGATAAAAGACTATACAGATGAATTCTTCAAGATATGCGACTTGTTCCCTCCTCGCCCTTCATATTTTTTAACGATGAATGTCAGCTTTATTGAAGATATAAACTGAACAGTTTCCATATTTGTTTGCATTCTTTCAAAATAGCTGATGTATGCTAAAGTTTATCAGGGATTTTTCGTTCTTCTCATTCTCAATAAATTTCTTTAAGGAGATGGTTTTCTGACCATCCCTACTACATTTCATATATTTCAGTAATTGTGAGAAAAGCTCACTATACGTTATTTTTGTAATTTATAAGTCTTAATAAAAACTATCAATTTATTTAATTCACGTCCTTTCAATAGTAAGTTTTCAGCGAGTAGATATATGATTCCAATCAGATTAAGAAACACATCTCGATGGCTTATTTTATATTTATTTTCCATGTATTAGAAGAACTAGGTAAACTTCGTTTGAATTACATACAATATGCCGCCACAAAGAATTCATTAAAAAACAAAAATTACTTGGCAAAATAGCGGTCGATTATGTAAAAACTGGTAGGTATATAAACTTTGCGAATAAATTATAGAATTGAAGCGCTACACAGAGTTACACAAAAATGAAGTTCTTAGAAATATAAAAATGAATTTAACGTAGCTATATAATTTAAAAAAAAAAACCTTAATAACACAATGTTTTCATCTCGCGAAGTATTACGTCTACACTTCTCCAGCATTCTTATCTTACCGGATTTCATGTTTTGTCTCACGTTTTACGAGACATCAAAATATTGATAGAAAGATAAAAAAGAAGTTGGTATGATTAGTCAGATCACTGCGGTAGCAAACAAACTATAATAATATCATAATTCAACGGGTCTGATTCTGTCGTGCCAATGCTGGATTGAACTGTGAATTATATTTCGCAACATTTCGCACCATTTCTTCTTTATTGCTTTCTGAGGGTATCAACAGATTGATAAAACGTTTTTGTTCTTTTGCCTCTCGATCCAGGCGTTCCTGTCTCAGCTTTTCCAACTTCTGCTTCTTTGAAGACTTTTCTTCACTTGATGATATTTCCAAAGAACTACAATCATAATGTGTGCTTTTCTTTCCGCATTTTTTATAGCGAGATCCCTTATTTTTTCTTTTCATTTTATGTTCTTTTTCCTTTATTTTTTGGTGGGTGCTTCCAATGCGTTTGCGGAACATCTTAACAGATGATCGATTTTCCGATTTCGCTAACTCATTTCCTTTCTTTGTTGGAATTTCCGATTTTCTGGACTCACTCTCCTTCTTTGTTGGAATTTTTTCATACCACGGCTTTTCCTGAAAATCTCAAAATCAGAGAAGAAATTCAAAATACACAGAGAAAAAAAATTAGGAAATAGACGCCAAAATTTTCTTATGAAGAAACTGTCAATAAAATTTAAGGAACAAACTTTCGTCAACTCACAGGAACCTTCTCCAAGATATTGCAAGATGCCAACTTTCTTTTCATATTCTTCCTGTTCCTTTTTCTTCTCTAGTTTATAATCTCGATTTCCGACACCTAAATTCTTCCGGTATTCTGCTTCTAAATTAGCGAAAAGATTGATATGGCCCGAAGAGTTGATAAACTGAGCGTTACTGCCATAAGATCCACTTTCTCCACACCTAAATATCGTTTCCATTCGTTCCGCATTTTTACGCAGTAGATTTACCTAAAGTATTCAACTACTCAATTTATTATAAAACTAAGAGACAAAAAACTGAATAAAGGAAAAATGAAAGCTAGATTTGATTGACCATTCCTTATTCATGCACATCTTAAAATTCACGAGTTTTATCTGCAATGAAGCCATATTCGAAAGTGCTATCACACATACCAGATACTATCACTTACGCGGCATTTATTCCTTAACAGACATGGCTTTGTGTAACAACATATCGTCCATGAAATTTGCTCTTTTCTAAAAATTGCCAACCTTATATTCCTGCTCTGCAAGCTGAGCTCTTTCTGCCACTCTTTTTTCTTCTTCTCTAGCTCTCTTTTGATCACTACGTACACGCGCAACATTCTCCTTTGTTCGCACATGCCACTTCTTTTTGGGTAATATATTCATTTTCTGAAAGAAGCTTCCACAAATTGAAAACAGGTGAATCAATGCGTAAACCTCTAACGCAATTCACTTCATTTTCTCCAAATGCTATGATAAGGCATTCTTCCCTATACATTTTCAGTACGCACAACTCAAAGCTGTGTCGGCAGTTTACTGGCGTTCCACAAACGGAACGAGCATTTACTTAAAAAAACCTTATCAACTTTACGTACCAAACAAAGCAGATGTTGTGGATATGTAAGGATACATATCCAAACTTCATCGCAAGACATCACTAGCTTTTTTCCTTGAACGCCGATGATGAAATAAAAATTCGCCAAGAATTCATTCGGATTCTTAAGACAAACAAATACAAACACAGTTTTTCCTGTTGTAATTTATTAGCACAAAACACTTCACACGTAAATATCGATCCACAACTCAATGACCTCTTCCAACCATGATATGCAATATTTTATTAAAATTTAGAAAAGTAATATTTGAACTGATACTGCAATCCGCACAATATTTTACATAAGAGAGGTGTATCAGATAGTACCGACATGTATGTTTGCTAACACAATTTCTTAACATATATGCAATAGCTGATTTGAAATAATTACAGCATCAAATTATCATAGTTAATTTAAAGAGAGAAATTGTTAGCTAATGACAATCTATACAAGTCATATGCGAAATATTTCCGGACACTAAATACATACAAGTCATATGCGAAATATTTGCGGATACTAAATACATTAGCTCAACAAATAATAAGGCTTGAAATACCACCATTCGATGTACAAGACATTAATATACAAGCTTCTCGTCCAATGGTCAAATCCTATCTGCAAGAAGTAACATTAAGCTTCCAACATGAAACATTATATAAAATCAATTTAATATGTCATTTGCTGCATACATATGTCATCGTATTAAGCAAAAAAAGCTTTTAAACTTTTAAAACATAGTAATATATCTGAAAGACGATATGTAGATAACAGTGTAGCAGTATTGTTATAAAAAACAGCAAAAACAATACTCCTTTAATGAATTTTCAATATCTCTTGCCAATATCTTGGATGAAAACCTACTACCCGAGGAAAGTGTTTAAAAGCTTATTGGTGTAACGTACAATCATTTCATCACAAATGAGTATTATCAAGAACAGCACAAAATTTAGAACGAAAATAAGGCGATTTAAAAGTTATCACAGAAAACAATAGCAACAATGCCAAGATATCAAGATAGGAAGCGAAATTGGGTGCAATAAATATTTTGGAGGACTTAATTTATCTTTATTCTATATTTGAATAGAAGTGAACTTAAAAAAAATCATAATTTTCTTGCTTTAATTAATTTTGCGTAAACCTAACAATGAACAAAAAAGATACGCTAATAACTTATCGATTCAGAAGGATACGACGTAGGACCTAATACAGTTGGAATCCGAGATCCCACATATCTGAAAGAAGACTTAGACTTCTGAATTATAAAAAATCTATAAGAAAATAAATTCCTTTAAGCAAACTGATAAATATGAAGATATCAAAATTATAGGATAGGTAAAAGATTTATCAGAATCGGAACAACGTCACTTTAAAATTCTCAAATTTGTTGATTCTTCGAAAATGTCACGAAATGAGTGCGGTAGCACTTCAAAATGAATATGAATTCATTGAAAGAGCAAATGTTTGGGAAATTGAAATGGAAGGGGATGGAACATGCAATTGATGTCTCGTTTCTTCGAATACTTTTTCACGATGCTGTAACGGTCGTGCACAATCTTGCTGGGATAACCGATATGCTCGAGATGCGTTTATGACAGTATCACGAACTAAATGTGGTAGCATACATATATGGATATGAGCTCCGTCAAAAAGTGGTCCAAACTCAAGTGGTCGCTGCGTTTCTATTCGAATCCGGAATAAGTAAGGTGACATTCGGTAGAGGACGATAAGTACATCACAAAATCGTGTCGCAATGGTGTCACGACGATACGGACGATCGTTTTCACTCCACACTATGTGCACTTCGTCGTTACCCAAATGCTTCAATTTCTGGGTAATATCACCTAAAATTTTTCCACTTAAAGACTAAAGCGACGAACAGAAGTGAAATATACAAACAATAAATGTCACTCATTTTTCTGCCTTGCATCCTCCAATAACTTCTTGCTTATATCTGAAAGAACATTGGATATAATCAAATAACGGTCTCTAGAAAAATAGACCATTGACAGCGGTTATTTTTACACCTTTTGCTTTAATTAACCCAATGTTTAGATTACCGATGGTTTGAGCCATCATATTTGCTTACAGCTTCTTGCAAATACGATTTACAGTATTTTGACACTTTACATTATCACTCTGTATTATATGCCTAAATACATTCTGCTTTAATGAGAGCTTAAAATAAAATTTGCAAGAAAGAAAACTTATAAATGCTCCAAATCAATCGAAAACAAACCATCGAGCATAGTGCTGACATGAAAAATAATTTCCGTATCACCAGATGCATAATACGCAGCACTTACACCACTAGATAAGCCACCACTATATCCGTAATGTTGATGACCGATTTGTACTTGCCAACCCAGACGAAAGACGAATTCATTAAATGCAGCTGAACCAGAATCGTTGGAAAGTATTGAGACTTTATCCTAAAATGCAATAAAAAATTGTTCCAATTTCACATCTCAATGAAAATTATTTTGATAAATCTCTTGAAACTATTCCCCATTTTCGTAACAGATATATGTAATATTTATTACCTTTTGTGAGAGAACTATAAACTTAAGAGGAGATTAAAATATTTAACACTCTGTGAATTGAAAGAACTTTATCTATTAAAAATGTGATTAACAAGAAAATTTGGAGATACCATACTTACTTCCTGTCCTTTGGCAACATAGATAACAGCCACTTTATGCACCTCTCGTGAACAAGTATGGTCGAGATGTCGGATGTCACGATTGAAACTGGGTGGAATTTGTCGCGCACCCAGGAATAATCGTAAATCAGCAGCAAGAGTGCGCCACAATATATATTTTTCTTCAATTAATACCTGTGATGGATATTTAATTGCTTTTGAATGACTCAAAGCAGGTCTACTCATTGTTAAGCGTCTATTCTGTTGAATGAAGAAATACATCTCGTTACATTCAATTGGATCCGCTTGCAATGTTCTTGGCAACTGCGGCAACTTCTGGAAATTTGGAAATAGAGTGTTCAACAATTTATTATAAAATAAAGCAAGTAGGTAACTAGCTAGTAAGCTTATGAAACGTACATTGAAGGGGTCTTCAAGTGCTTCTTTAATGCTGGTCATTTCTAATGCCATTTTCCTTGGTCGTAAAGCTAATTTCCGCAGCCAATCATTAACGCAATTCATTTGACGTCTAACTGTTCGTTCCCCAGTAAAACACCAGCAATGTTTCCCAACTGGTGTTCGACTTGTCACGCGTACGCCAGTATCCACATCAATACTGAAGTGGTCACACTACGAAACTTCTTCGATATGAATCATTCGTTAAACTTTCAATTCTCATGCACAATCTTGCAGGACAAAGCTCTACCTTCACAAGTTTTTTTTTTTCAATTTTTACAGTTACTAAATTAATTATGACAAATTCTCATTACGAAGAACGCATGCGGTGAATGGAGAACCTAAATTCTTGGCTTTGCAGCCATATTAATTAAGTCATAATGCCACATTCTCCTATGCTAAATTTCTAATGTAGAAATCAGAACAAAACACTAAAAAAATAGCATGAAATTTGTAATAATTCACGGTGATAAGTAAGAAGAACCTTAGAATGGCTCTTTCCTGATCAAAAAAGACACGCCGTGCTGTCAACGCATCGTGCTGAGAATTTCCGGTAGTATTTTCCACTGAATTACAATGAGCCAACGCAAATGACGGTAGCGGAAATTGCCGATAATAAGTAAGCAAGAATCCTTCCAGACAAAGCTTTCTACCATTCAGCACGCGCTCCAGCAACGATCGTCTAAGTTGACAATCCATTAAGCTAACTGATACACTTTGCCACAGCATTTCACCAGCTAAGCAGTCTTCCTTTACCTTAAAATAAAAGTAAAAATTGAGTTTCCGGTTTGGAATGTATTTGATAATTCCTAACCATGAAATGAAATGAGCAATCAAAATCAAAAACTCGTACAGCTAAGTCCAATCTATGCGTGCCGAAACGATAATTACAGCAATATGTAGATTTGATTTTTATTTTCAGAAGGCATAATATTAGCGTTTGTTCCTAATGATAAAACATATAAAAACCAACAAATGGGCAGCCAATCATTATCTTTCTAGACGAAGGAAAACGAATAAACATACGAAATCGAGTGCCTGTTCCAAGATAGCGGCTAATTTATTGCGCAAACCGATCTGTTTCAACTGGTTCAAATCGGCACAGAACATATGAAGTAAACTGGAAGAAGTTTTCAAAGTACAAATGCGATTCATCACTTCGGTCATCAACTTCGTATCGGCACGTTCGATGATTAGCAGTGCCAAGGCATGCAATGCCAATGAATAGGATTGCAGAGGCACCTCAATCGAATTCATCGCCAACAGATTGAGCAACAGCGTTTCACCCACAGCATGATCGGGTGAAAGAAGTGCCGCTACCTGAAATATTTTCATTTCATTAATAATGATGTACGATTTGCATATCCACCTAACATTGTTTCATATTAAAAAGGATGTCTATCATATGAGACGGTTCCGATGCTCCTCAGTCAACTACAATTGAAATCTATAATGAAACGAATTAAAAGATTGAAAAAGTTCAAGCATATTCAGTACTGTTTAACTCTCCTACCACTACAGTAATAAGCAATTATGATAATTCAAAAATTCTGCAGCTAACCTGCACACTTCTTGGTGAAAAATTGGACTGTTTGATGAGCTGGGTGAGTGAGTTGAGAGCTGGACGTGCCAATATGGTAAGATAATCCTTGGACATGAATGGCATGTATTCTAAGACAGTAGTAAAACGTTCGGAA